TGCGCCTGTCCAGCCCGCTCACTGGCGGGAGGAAAATTCCTGCCCTCCCCGCGCGCTCAAAGCCACATTCTCCAGATGTTGGCAAAGCCCCGGCTGCTAACAGCCCAAAGCCAGTTTCGGCCTGGTGCTTGGGGTTTGCATCAGAAATTGCTCCTGATTGGGAAGTTGCCAGGAAAGGATGTGACTCCTGGACCACCGGCTTTACCTGCACCGGGGTCAGTGGTCTTGCACTTACCAGCACTTAACCAAAGGGCAGCATTCGCTCACCCGTATGAGTGAAGAAGATACCAAAGTTAGCTGGAAAGTCTCTCCATAACCTTTAGATGGTGTCAGAACCCAGACTAAATCTCTGCACTCTTTTGCCTAAACTACACTTTCCTAATGAGATTACACTTTCCTAATGGGATTAAAAAGCATTAAGAAATTTCCCACTGGGAGATGTGGCCACAGCGCCTGAGTTAACATGTTCCTTCTCCACTGGAGAGCACCACGGGGCAACGTTCAGGCAGTTTTAATGAAAAACCATCTTTTTCTTCCTGTAAACTAAACAGATTTGCCTTTTTTCCCTCCTATTTTTAAAAGCAGGCTATGAACCTTTAAGCAGATGGATGCACAATAATCTTCCCACTGGCAAGCAGGCAAAAGCCACGCAAGGTGCATCTATTCACGGCCAGATGGAGCCCACATGTAAAGGTGTTGCATTTAATCTGAGACAACAAGTGTTTATTATTTGTGAAAGGGTCTTCCACTTTCTCCTGCTTTTCAGTTCATAACTTACTCGCCAGGCAAGGCCAGATGCTCCGAGTCAGCAACGCGTCCCGGCCGAATTCCTGGAGCTCGTTTTCCGCGTGCAGCCCCGCTCCATATGAAGTGTGGCAGATGGGGCATTGCTCCCTGTCCCTGCTCGGCTGCAGGCGCCCAGGGTGGACCAAGGGGAGGCACAGCTGAGATCTGCCCTTCCCCTCTGCAGGAAGATACTAAAAAACAGGGACTCTTGCATTTTGGGGCAACCAGAGCATCAGAAAAGAAAATAACATTTTTTTTTGTGAGGAAAAGGCTCTGTGATCCCACAGGAAATAAGAATTGCGTGAAGCCTTTGGCCCCAAAGCCTCAGGTGTCTTTCCAAAGCCAATGGGCAGCCCTAGAGGAGCAGTCCCTATGAGACGTGCCCATGGACGGGTGGACACCCGTCCATAAGGGCCCTTTTCAGTCACCCCCAAGCTTTGGCTTTTAATTTTACAGTTTCTCATTGCTGCACGGAATGGGGGTGAGCGGGGAGCTGGCCGAGCTTCGTCGCCCTTAAAAGAGCAGGGTGCAAGCGCCAGCACTGACACCTCAGCCGCGCACCGCAACAAGCCCTGGCGGTCTGCGTATCCCGTCCTCGTCATCAAGTCTTTACCAGTCAAACAGTCCAGCTTTCACCTCCTTCCAATCACCCATTTTAGCCTAAAATTTAGGCTAAATCTAATCAAAATGACTTAATAATTAACCCAGCTTTTTCCTGTTCACGTGACACTGTAGGATAGTCACAACGTGTTATTTCTCTCCACAGACACTAGCTCTCCCCTTGCCCATGTCATCTGCTGCCTCCTGCCCCCATACAGTCCAACCAGTGCCACGGCACTCCCCCAAGCTCGTGAAACCACGGGCAGGCCCCACCGGCCCCAGTCCACACCAGCAACCACAGCGTCGCCATAATCCCGCCCGCAACGGGAACGCTTCCCATTTAGGCAAGCAAACAGGCACTCGGCATCAATAAAAGACACCTGAGGTTGTTACTGGGTCCTTCTGCAGGCAAATTCAGACAGAAGTGAGAAGGCGGGGAGCACCTTGGAGCTTAGTCCCCTTGCAAAACACAGGCCTGCCTATAGCACTCGGCTGTGGGGCTGCGTGGGGCTCACAACAGCACCAGACACAGCGAGATCCACAAGGCAAACATAAAGCAAAAGGGCTCCAGATGATTTTTTTCCTGTTAAGCAAATATTATCTCTCTGCACACCGACGATTGCAATTTGGTTCCCGAGGGAGAGGTTTGAAGCTGATAATCAATCCGCTTACGCGAAAGCTTTCAGATCTAGCATAAAAATGCAAAGAACACTCAACTTTTCTGGTAGTTATTACCAGAAATGAATTTGGGGGCCCTAAAAATTCAAAAAAAAAAAAAAAAAAAAAAAAAGTCAGTACAGGTGGAACATCTGCCTCCTATTTGCTCTGCTCATCTCACATCTTCAGGAATAGCCCAACGTTAGAAATTGGGAGCAGCTTACTCCATAGATCATGTTTAATCTAACAAGACTCTGCAGTCTTTTTCTTGCTTTGTGTTCATGGAAGAGCCCATACATGATTTCTAGGATTATCTATACAGCAGCAACGGAGTCACATTTCGGTTCATGAAACAACGCGCTTTGCAGGAGCCCTATTAAAATTTAAACACGTAAGGCTTAGAGCAGAGTGATATTAAAAATAATACACAAATACACAAACTCACTCACTCAGCCTCACCTCCGGCTCTGGTCTGCATAATCCATTTTCTTGGCGGCACTGCCCAGTGCAGGTTTTCTTTCCTGTGTTGCAGCGCGGTGTTGTCGAAGCAGCAGTTTTCATTCCCCTCTTCCCGGTTCTCCCCAGCCCTGTTCCTGTTAAGGACCGTTACTCCTTGGGGACAGCAGAATCCTGCAGTACCGATTAACCATTTTCCCGTTCTTTCCTAATCAAACGGTCTTCCACACATGACAATTGCACAGGGCAGCAGGCACCGATTACGGAGGGCACTCGTGACAGATCTCGAGGGTTATTACTTTTACCAGGAACACTGACCACCTCAATGAGTTTTCATGGCTCTCAGGGTACCGTTTTTCCAGGCTGTTCAACACTCCCCAACACAACCTAAAAGCAAACGAGTGAAAAGTGCCAAGCGCCTCTTACATCCCTGCTCACTGTTGTGTTGATATCTGTCTTATATGGATTTAGGAACTAAATTTAAGGCCGCAGAGTTTAAAAGGCCCTTGAACTGAGCTTTCAGCATGCGGTTAACCCGCTGCTGCAACAGAGCTTACCTGGACTGCACCCGTACAGGCAGAGCGGGCAGCAGGAGGCTCAGGGCACGGGCAGGAATTCGTGCAGAGAAGACTGCTCTTGCAAATGCAACCACTTTAGTTACAGGAAAGACAACATGCCAACAGATCTTGCTATTACCTTCTGGCTTAGATCACTCCAAAGCACATTATGGATATTCAGCTTGAACACAGACTCAGCCAGCAAAACACCCTGTTATCATAATTCTTAGCTCCAAATGCACCCATGGTTCCTCACACACAATAGTGCAGCTCCAAAAGCAAAATACAGCAAATGCTCTTTGGATTTACTTTTTAATATTTTTTTTTGTAAATGTTTTTAATATAACTTTTTTGATAAAATATATACAATGAATAGTTAACAACCATCTTAATTTAATGATGAAAACAAAACCATTCCAAATCAGACATACAGGTACAACTTATTTCTACAGATTTTGCATTAAAGCCAACAGAATTACAGACATGGGGGGGAAGCAGGGCATTTTAGAGATCTGCCAATAGCCCAAATTTCTCCATGACACAAACAGACATTTTATTCATCATTTAGATGAGACTGCCATATAAAAGCAGCTGCAAAATGTGACAGGACAAGACGTGTCAGATGCTGGTCACTGGGCATTTTGAGGAAGGGGAACGAGCCCACAAGCTTTGGGACACAGACAGGGGACCTGTTGCCTCCTGCTAACTTGCAACTGGAGGCCAATTCAGGAGGGTTTCTCTGGCTACCGCCACCTAAAAATAATCCAGCAATCATCTGAAATCATCTGTGGCTTCATCCACAGCACATCCAAGGCATCGGGCAGTCAGATAAGTCTTAGTGGGGGTGAGACAAACAGGAGCAGATGTTTCCTGTTCCCAGCCTGACTTTCATTTGGTTTCTGACACTGCTGCCTCTGCAGTTTAGGAGAGGGGGGACTCTGATGCCTAACACTTGTCCCATTGTTTGGGGTTTTGGCTAAACCTGAGCAAGGAGGATGCCCGCAGTGGAACAGAAAACAGCCCGGTGAGGAGAGCTCTGCAACTGGCAGCAAGGGAGACCCCAACAGCAGGCGAGTCCTGGTAATAGGAAAGTTTCTTTTCCAGCCCAACTCAGGATCATCTCTAATAACAAAGGACAAGAGACCCTTCGATAACGGCAATTATATTTCTGACTTTGCCACATCTCTTTTTTTAAATCAAGTTAATTTTAGTTTTGAGAAATAATTCCACTTCTTCTAAGAAATTTCAAGTTTCTCTTAAATAGTAAGCTAAGATCCCGCAGTTTTTCCAAAAGTGGTAATTTACAGAGCCTTAATGCATCATTGTTCATTATTAGTGTTTTGCACCTATGTACACAGGGATGTGCACATCAAAGCTGGAACTGGCAATTTCTGTAAATTGAAGTGTTTTACAAATCAGAACTGCAACACACTGACTGCTGAAGAGGCCTTGGGTGTTCAAATGTTAATTCATAGCTGCTGTTCCAATGTATGGCTATAATGTAAAACTATAACCTGCCTGCTCTGTCTTGATGAAGAGAAGGAAAAGTAGAGGCTGACTTAAAGATGCATCTTTTACTTATAACATGACTAATTTTGACACCTGAGTCACAATCTCTTGTACAGGCACAGCAGAAAACCTGAGATTTCAGCAGAAAGAGGAGGTGAAGCACCTGGAGTTCTACCCTGCAGGTCTCCCTGCTTTCAGAGGGGCCACCCTAGCTGCTCTGTGTCCCAATTTGCATTAAAACAGTTTTCAAGTAATAAAACACTTCATTCTTTACGCCATGTGACAAAACAGATTTTTTTTGCTGCTGTTGTAAAAAATAAACATTTGTCTCACTATGGAGAAAAAGCCATTTGTTACACAGTTACTTAAGCCAACAATTAAGCTTGGGAGACAGGGGCCCACCAATCCCATAGGAACTAAGCTCCTCCCAAAAGACAGCAGTAGACAGTTGCTTCAAATGGATGGATGCTTACACATCAAAGGGGGCTCCAGCACACTCAAAAGAAGAGGTCAGTCGTGCCAGCCAGACCACAGAGCGAGATTCCGTTTTATTCTGCAGGTGCACAGCCTCCTTTGGAGAAAAAGTGTTTGTTTTGACATTTCTCATAGGAGCCATGAATGGGTTCAACCCTCCATATGCGACAGAGAGGCAGTTGTTCAGCTTTGCACTGCACATCTGTGCAACGTGAAGGCAGGACCGATCCACCATCCCTCTCGGACGTAACCTGCTTCCTTGCATCATCTTCTTCAGGGCTTTGCATCCTTCCTAGCACCTCCTCAGCCCTGACGTGGAGCCCACGGGTTTGCCTCACAGCTGCCTCTACAAGCTGCCGATATTGGGAAAGCTCTTCAGTTTCTCTGGAAAGTCATCTTTGTACAAGACGGGGTCTGCCCGGTGCTCCACCACTTTCAGAGGCATGGTCCCGAAGACAGAGGCAAACTTATTGATGCACTCGGATCTGGTAGAAAGGAAAGCAAGGTCATTAAAAGCCCCAACAACTGAGTTGTCTCCTACCTCCCACCACAATTACTGATAGAAAAACAACTCCGTAACCTTCCCTCCTGTTCTTGGAAATACTTCAGCCCTGTTGGCTTCTAATAAATAAAAAAGGGAGCCTCAGTGCAGAAAGAACTGAAAAGAAGCCGGTGTTATTTGATTTATCCATTTAATCGGAGAGAAGAGCAGGGGGATGCTGGCAGCAGCACATGTGCACATGGAGGTCACAGCTTGGCTCTCCCTCCCCCTGGAATTCCAGTCATTCCTAAAGCAATGTACATGCTGCAAACCAGAACAGATTAGCTGCCAACATGTCTCTTAAAGGGCCGCTGTTGGGTCAATCTGGTTCGTAGCAAAGGTTCTGCAAAACACAAGCATCTGTGAGAAGGGAATTCTACAAAAAAAGCCTTCCCCCCACCCCGCCTCCATCAGACCTCATCAGAAGCTCTATTTTTTTCCCCACAAAAATCAATGTGTCCCAATGTGTAAGAAACGCTAACTGTACCACAACGTCAAAGTGAAGCAGAATAAAAACAACAAAAAGAAACTAGTTAGTTTATTTTCCTTGTCTAAATGAAAAAAAATTGAGCAGTAAGGCGTCGCATCAGCACGGAACATCTCAAACCACTGATGATTCCTTCAGTTTTAGTAGCCCCAGGTGTGAGCAATGCTGTGGCTAGGAAGGGTGACGTGCTTCAGGACAAGATGCAAACAGATGCTTAACCTCACACTGCTGCTTTAACTCCTTCCCTGAAATGCAGGGTATCTACGGGAGGAAGGCCCTGAAAACTGGGCTAAACTCACCTGACCCAATGTTCTGCTAACGATAGCTATATATTGTATAAAACACCTTTAAAAACTTCAGACTCCGAGTATCATGGCAATACATGGATGAACACAAGACATCAGTTGTTGTAGCTTGACAGCTACCAGAAATGGCTCACAAGTCCTCTGCTGTTCACAAATGAAGGAATTGGAAGTAGYTGGAAAACCCAACATCCAAGTTGTTAGAAAGCTACATCTCTATGTTGCTGTTTTCAACATACAATGGTCATATGTCAGGCTTTTTTTTTTCCCCTTGCCCTGAAAAAGCAGCTAGTGAATAACTTTCCTGCTGATACCTAAATATTTCATGTCAAGAAGCTCTCAAGGCCAGCGAATGCAGACACCTCACTTTCTGCTACCTTCTCACGCCCTCACCCTGACTCCAGCTTCAAATCTTGGCACTGGGAAACAAATAAAAAAGAATTTGGAGCTTGAGAGGGAAGAAAGAGTAAGCACTGGGGAACAACCCCTGAACTGGCACAAAGGCTGCTTGCTCAGGGCAAGCAGAGATCTGCAAAGGAACCATCAGTGGCTGCACTGAAGCCTACAGACAGAATCAGTTGTCCAAAGGCTGCAAAGACAAGACGTGCCATCAGACACGTAGGTCTTGGACCCTTGGCACACAAGTACTGCTCTAGAGAAGGGTACCAGAACATTTTGCCCAGCAACATTAAGTGCTTTCTGTTTCTCCGTTAGATGTCCAACATGAGATACCCTAAAGCCATCTCAATTTCCAGGTAAGGCCAAATTCCAAAATCACCAGTTATTTTTCCGAAACATGGCTAGCTCTAAACCAACTTGCGTGTCCCAAGAAGTCCCGTGGCAGCGGGAGCACCGAGCTCCCAGGCCAGGAGGCAGATGCCCTGGGAGATCTGCACGTGAGAGGTCTGCACAGCTGCTGTCCCTCACTGGGCACACAARGCCCTTTGCTTCTGGTCTTACTGGTTCAAACCCTGCCCGTGCCAGTAATGACGGAAAGACCTTGCAATGTAACAGCTGCGTGGTGGCCTCTGTGAAAGGAATTAGTTATCTCAGCCTTCTGCCCGGCGGGCAGGTGTCCACGTCACAGCAGCCATGGCCACAGCCCGTCCAAGCATTCCGGTTCTTCTAACCAACAAGAAACCACTTCATCACTAAGGAAAAGATAACATGAAAAATGAAAAGTAAGTATGTTCTAATCATCTGGCTGAGTCTGAGAACTTATTTCAGGAAATAGCAAATTCAAGAATCAGGAACAGGATTTTTTTTTCAGATGAAAAAACGGCATGTACGAGCCACACAATGCGTTTGAAGGAAAGCTGCCTCTTTTCAAGAATTTCATCCTCTGCACTGACCTAAAGGGCTTGAATTCCAAAGCATCTGTCACTTTGGGGCAATATAAAACAGCAAAGACATGTAGCACATTAAACATGCAAAGCTAGGAAGACAAAGAAAAATAACATGTCATCTTATATGGAGGGTAGGTATTTTTTTTGGCCAAGTTCACAGTTCTGCAAATTCATACTAACAGAGACATCTCTGCTTCCAAGAATTATTCATTTTTTCCCTGCTCTACCAACAACACACAATTGTGCTTAACAAGGAATCGAATTAGTGTGGGCTGAGATACTGAGAGCCCTGCTGCCCCTGGCTGCCTGGATCAGCTTTGGGGCCAATCTAGCAGGCTAGGGTCTCTCTTAATCAGCCTCCTCTCCCTTACAACCCAAATATTTTTTGGCAGAGTGAGTAGCTCTGCACCTGCAACCTCTGGCCACAGGCTACCTGGGTCGATTTGCTCGTTAAGGGAATGTCTTCCTATTTTGAGTCCAATAAATATTTATTTGCCCTAAAGGAGGCACTGCTGTTGGCTTTGCTGCAGAAGCTGCTCAGCCCTTTGCTGTATTTATTGCACAGACAGTTGCCCTCTAGGCTGCATTTTACGGAGTTCTCCACTTTGAGAGCCAGATGCAAAGATGCTAAAGGCAGAAAACTTGTTGCTACTTAAATGTTCCCTGTAAATACATGCATTATGAGATCCTTCTACAACTTTTCCTGCGACCTGATGCAAAGGCCTAACCTAGGGCAAGAAGGAGATTTTGATTCAAAGTTCCCTTTGATTAATGTATTTTGATGATGGAGGTGAATAGCCTTGGAGGCTGAAATTTTACTTATTTATCTTGGAGAAGATAGCAAGGAGAATAGCAAAGCTTGGGTCCCTGTGATTCTCTCTAAATATCCTTCAATACTGGTGAGGGGAAAAAAAAAGGAAAGATTTGACTGTACCATGTGTCAAGGGCTCAGCAGAAACAGTTTGTTACACATCTTCCCAGGACACATCTGTGCTCCCGAGAACTCCTAAATCCAAACGGTTCTGGCACCATCATGACAACCCTGACAAACTACTCGTTTCATAATCAATAGGCTGATCCCTCGATATCTAGGTCTGCAACTAGCTCAAACTGTATGCCACAATTTCTGAATGCTAAAACCCAAGGTTTGGTATTTTGTGAAATGGCAAGTGAAGCTAATTATGGGTCTTCGCCTGACAGCCCAAGTGTCCTGCTAGGTACCCACCATGGTACAGTTACTTGTACAAGTTGTTCTTTCATGATATGCTGTGGATCATATACTTTTTCCATGCAGCTACTCTTCTCATACAAAAAAAAAAAAAAAAAAGGGGGTATCTAATATGTATATATAAGAGATAAGAGCCTTGCTCGCTGCTAAATAAGGAAAATCTAGCCTAGTTTTTTTGTTTGTTTGTTTGTTTTTTGTCATTTGTTATCTACTTTAAAGGAAAAGATAACTTAAAAGATTTGGAAAAAGAAGCTCTGTCAGATGTTCAACTAAATTCCATAAGCTGAAGGAATATAGTAAGAGCAAGACGAGGTGAGGTCTTAAGTGTTAGCAGGTAGTTTCAGCATTACGTTAACAAACGTGGAAAAACAAAACACACTCAGAGTACATCCCTACAGGGTTTCTCCCGCTGCCAGCTTCTCTCCCAGCATTTAATCCTTTTGCTGGACAAATAAAATACGTGGACCTGCAGGCAAYCTAACATTTCCCATACCTCAATTATCTCCACTGTCAGAAACTATATGGGAGAAACAAGGCAACAGTTGAAACATGTTCTCAATAAACTGACAATGGCACTTTAGCTGGAGGATACTAAAATGATTATAGACATGGAAACATGACCTTTACCCAGCTTCATAAGGCACTTTGGAACAAATACCGCTTTTTTCATCTTCTGCTTTTACGGTGTCTACCTTAATCAGATCCTATACACAGCTGTCATACAACTGGCAAAACCATAGGAGAACTCAGCTGGGTTCAGGTAGTCCACTTTGTAACTGGTGCACAACTGCAAAAGGCAGTACATCCTCTTGTGCTTCCTCCAACTAACATTTGAGTACTCCAAAGCTTCCAGTACCTTCTTAGAAGCTTCCCACAGAGCATTTTTTTCCCATCTTACAGGGTACTTTTTACGTTTGACTTGCATTTTCCTTCATTTTTTTTTTTTTTTTCAATCCAGACTCTTACACATACGGTCTAAATAACCTGCCACCTGGTCTTGGTGGTTATAGTCTACAAGGTCTGGTTAACACATGGTTAACAATCAATCAGCCAAACCATGCATGTTTGTCCATTACGTAGTGTGTGTATATATGTGTGTATATACATATATATATATACACACATACACACAGACATACATAAATAAGACCCAGACCTACTAACCAATTTTGCATTCATTCACAGAATACATAAATACCTAATACAATTAAAGCAGAAAAAGGCTGGTCAATTAATACAATATTTTAAATTTACTCAGTGAGCAGTGTGGAAGAGAAGAAATTTCACTTGTAAGTATGAAGCATGACTTTTGGTTTTCTGTCATTAAGGCTTCTGCTGGCATCCTCCAAAACCTGCTTACCCATCCCATCAATTGCTTATCCTTGTTTACCCATCCCATCAATTCTGTGACTGCACATTATTTTTCCCAAAGCCCRCAAGAAGGATGCAGCAGCCTGAGAAGACTCCAGAAAAATATCTTTGTCAGTCCTAGGGCTTGGGTAAATTTCACCTAAGGATTTATTTATTTTTTATTCTCAGATAGCCCCTTTTCAAACAAGGGTCTTAAGCATCTTTGTAAATTGAACAAACTTTCCCTTCTTTTGCTTATTAGAAGCTAAGGTGGAGGGAAGTTCAGTGTCTCGGTCAAGGTTAGGGAGCTATTTTAATGTAAAGCAGTGACTAGAACTCATGTGCTTACAACATCCACTATTTCACTCCAAACACTCACTGCCTTTCCACATACATACCTCATTGCCAAACTAAATTCTCACAAAAATATAAGAATGCTACCATTGTTATAAAAACGTCACATTAAATTGTGCAGGCAAATGTACTTCATTAGCACAGCACCGTGCTTCAGAATTTTTGGAGGAGAGACAACATAAAAATTCAATAACATTATCAGCTATTTATATCCTTGTTAGTCAAACMCTCCTTGGTAAGCTAGGAACTGTGTGGACTAAAAAAAAATCCAAAATTCTCACATTCGTTACATTTGAGATTTCATAATAAAATGGAAATGTTGTGGAACTGAAAGTACTATTAAACCTGTATTTCATTCCCATGTTCTATATGCTTCATAGCAAAGCTGCTAAAAAAAAATGGTCCCTTCTAAAGTCTTTTCTTGTAGCAGTCTACTTTTCAGTAYCACATCATCCCCTGTGAGAATGATTTATGGTGACCAAATCCACGAGATATTCCTTCAAAATTAGTATTTTGCAGAAATATAATCAGGGAGCATTTTGGGTCCTACTTTAATGAGATACAGAATGTTTCTGGGGATCAGAACAAGGCAAGCAGTGGAGTAAAGGGTAYAGTCACTCACCTCTCCACCATGTGTGTCTGGTCCAGCGATAACCCATCGATTGCTGTGCATTCGGGACACTTGAACTTCTTCCGTGGGGTCACCTGCACAAAGGCATGCCAGATACCATCAAATATCAGCGGAAGGGACATTAATCTCCTCGCACGGAGAGCAGTGCAATACCTCTGAACACGCCTGCAGTGTAAGCCGAGCTCTCGCCCTCCAAAAAAAGAAAAAAAAAGGTGGGGGGAATGTTTAAAAAAAAAAAAAAAAAAAGAAAGCCACTCCATTCCTCCATTCAGCTCCATCTGGCCTGACTGACTGCAAATTCACAGGGGCCCAATAAAAATGGCTTGGAGGGGTTTTGCCTTCTGTAACCGAAAAGAAGTGGCGATGACAAGCTCCTTAATTCCTGTTTAATGACTGTTTTCTCACTGCCAAGGTCCCTGTATAAACACCATTTGTTCTTGCAGCCATAACAGCGATGAAATATAGCTTCCCATGCTTCACCGTAGCATTAATCCAACAGACGCTCTTTTGCTCACTCCAGTTAATAGCTGACTGGCAAGCTCTGCAGGGCTCTCCCCCTCGCACAGAGGTGCCAAATTATTCTGCTGTGCCTTGCACAGCTCAAAAACGTTTTCAGCAAAAGCACACACTTTATCTTCTAAAGACTTTTCTAGGAAATGCGGCCCCCAGTCCCAGTAAATGATGATGGACAGATGGGAAAGCGGACCCCGCTAATTGAAGTAATGCCCGGTGGCCTCTAAATCTCATTCCAAGTTGACACACTTGGAAATGAATGTACAGAGTGAATGTCCAGACCTGAAAACGTGTCGAAACATGTCAGGAAATTAATTCGGGGATAAAAAGTTCATTTAAAGCTGATCTCRCAATTAACATTCTTGCAATTAACATTCCTATAAATCAGCTGTTGCCAGTCCGTGACAGAGCGAGCTGTGGACAGGTGACAATTTCTTTCCTCAAGTGATCTCAAATAGTTAAAATATATGTATGTATTTTTGTACTTTAACATAAATATCTATCACTTAAATTAACTTCTTCATGTCTCATCTAGTTGGTTGCAATAAATACCAGAAGTGCAAGAAACACCAAAACAGTTTTGTGTTCCCAACTGGCATAATAGTTTTGCCAAACTGGGATAAACTCTTTCCTACCATGGAAGACACTGTGACACCATTCCAGAAGTTAATGAGAGAAAAAAAGACAACAAAGTAGTATATTCACATGTACTAAGTAAGTTTATACGATGGGTACATCACATTTTTAAACTTTGCAGAGCTGAAGTACAGAAAAATCCTACCTTAATGACTGATTTGCCAGTGACATTTGCCACCAGAAAATTCATGGCAATGTCTTCACAGTTCATATGGGCATCCACCCAGTTCTTGATGTCTCCAGGCATTTTATAGGTGTAAAGATAGTTAAAATACTGCAGGATAGATGGAAAGAGAGAGAACATAATTTTAAATTTTAAGAATTTTAAATAGAGATTCAATAACTTTAAGACTTTAAACATTTCAGTCACTGAACAGCAGACAGGTAGGGATAGGTTACAGGCAATCTCTTCTCCCATCTTCAGCCAAGGATGACTTTAGCTGACAGTCATTTCTGTTTGCCCAGAGATGTAACCACTCCTTTCCTGATCAGCAAACAAATTCCTTTTCAACTTGTTTTCCTTTTTTTTAATACTTACCTACAAAGCTATACTCATTACAAAAGCAAGAGGCAATCACAGTTACACATCCTACAAATTGACAAGTTTTTCCTTTAAGCACAGAAACCCATTTCTTTTATAGAAGGAGACAAATCAGTAGCTTTCACAGCAGTGGTAGAAGCCTTARGGAAAGTTCTCGATCCTTCCTCGGATTGTTGTAGGAAACAATCGTGGTTTCACAATATACTCACAGAACAAGGACAGAAACATGCAGCTCCCAAGGAAAGGTTCCTGCTGTGTATTAGCAGGACCTTCTGCAGTTCAAGCCGAACTGCTTGTTCTCTGGAAGACTGACCCATCTCACTTCCTAAGAATTCAACAAATGACACTTTGTGCCACCACAGCCTTTTCAGGTGACACACAAAGGTGGTCCAATAATTACTTGAATTCTCAAAAGGACAGTCAGAGATCACCGCCTGGTACAAACAGCATTATATCTTTTAATAGCRAGATATTCTGACCCCTCCCTTTATTTCTAGCACTGTGGTTACCTTGTGATAAAAGGCTGCCCCGGTGAGCACCATTGAGACTTCATTGGTCCATTCGGATTCGTACTTCCATTTGTTCATCTCGTGGTCCCAGAGATGCAGGCGCCCTGGATACCCCACCAGCCTGTCGGGAAACTCACGCCAAACCTGGAGAGCGGGAAACAGGGCAGGGTGCTGAGCAGGCCCTCCACACCGGCGTGCAGACACGACACAGCTCCTCGGYAAGGCAGAAACACCACGGCAATCCTCACAAATTCCAGTTCTCAAAACTGGGAGAGAGGCCAGGGACATGCAAGGGAAAACTCAAGTTGGCTTGAAAGGACCATGCAACTCAGGCAGGCCAACAGGAGAGCAAAGAGCCACAAAGCAGCACCAACTCTCCCACTGCAGAGCAATTCTACCAATTGCTCAGAAAGAATTTAACGCTACCTAAAACCAGCATGATTAAAGCAGGACTTCTGATGTTGACTTCAGTAGATGCGGCTACAGCCTAACTACTTTCACAGCTGCCTTGGGATCTAACCAACCTGTTTACTTTGATAGCACAGGGCTTAACACAAGCTTATATTTTAATATTTCTGGCATTCTTTAGTGGGTGCTTGGATGGATCCGCTGCTACATGGCAGGCCTCTCTGCCCCTGACTTGTTCCAGACAGCTGGATGCAATCAAGATACCATCCTTGTCACTCCATACATTACCCTGCAGCTGACGACAGGATCAAACACACTAGACAAGAACAAGGAGAAGGGCATCATTAACGCAACCCCAGTTCTCCACACTGCTGGCCACATTAAATAATGGTCATTTTTTCGCAGGAGTTAAAAGGGAGAAAGGGTTATAATTATTTCAAGGGGTCTGAATACTATATACTAGCTAAATACAAAGTATTTTTTGCTGATCAACAATGAAGTTAGTATTTATCAACACTATTCACACAGACTAATTACTCATTTTTTTCCTTTTTATTATTCCAGTATCTGCTAAATTTATTGGAAGAACATGAGTCTTGACTCTCAAAAYACATCAGGTTAGGTAACAAGAACTTCTGCTTCAACTTGGTAGCATTTTTATTTTTATTATAAATAAATAAATAAATAGAAGCCRTCATTTATGACCAAATTGCAATGTGCATGCAAGAAACAATGATGAAAAACCTCTCGGCTCCCTGAGGGAGCATTTCACAAGCAAAACTTGTCTGTGTACAGCTGGCAAAGGAATCCTAGAACACAGATCAGACGAGGCTGCAGTAAAGCAAGTATTATACAGAGCTCTGCAATGCCGAAAACCTCACTTTGTCCACAGTTTCCTTAGGGTACTTCCTATGTGCCAATACTTTTCAGCTAGGAGACCTGGACTATAAGGRCTCTGTACAAGTACTTGATCAAAGTAAATATGATAAAACAATCAGCATTAATTTACTACTTCTGCACTACATTTCTACGATTTTGCATTGCTATATACCTTTTCATCTCTAGATCTCAACACATTTTATTGCTGTCAGTTAATATAGYTTGAGAATCCCATGATGAGAGTAGTTGTTATTTCAAACGTACAGACGAGGAAACCTGCCAAAAATCAGACAGGAAACAAGAATGGGAACCAGATCTTCTGACTCTCGCACTTGTACTTTATCCAGAAATCAATCTTTCTGGAGAGAARGCTTGGGCAGGAGTTCTTGGACTGTATTTAGACCGGGCAACTGTCTAACAGGGGGCTCTTGAAAGCCGAGGTGATTTGGAACTCAAGCAGCAGAATTCAAAGGATATTGTCACAAATTAGTGCCACCAGCTAATTATAATATATATACACACGTATACAAAGTTTTTGAAAGACCAGTGAAGACCTGGGACACCTGATTCAATTTTGACACGACGTCATTAACATTAATAAAGAGCAAAAGGACAAATGTATAGCACCTCCCTTTTCCTCATCCCCACGCACTTTAAAAAAAGGGAATAATCAAGCTGCACTTTTTTTGAAACCTCATTATTAAAATACCCATCTCCCAGCTGTTGCAAGACCCTGCAACATAAGCTACCAAGGCTCAACACAAGGTTTGGCGGAACGCTGCAATGCGTAACGTGCCGAGCAAGGAATTCTTGCAGCAGGAATGACACGCATATTGAAGGCAGCTGAAGGAGAGATTAAACTCAGCTACTGCTTCCCAAGGGGTCTGAGGGCCCTCATAATGCAGAACGGTGCATTTATATTCTTTCTAGAGGTTTTTTTTCTCCGGTGAGATCTTCAAGAATCCAAATGACATAAAATAAAAGCCAATTGTAACGTATGTTACTAATACTGATTCCTTTGTGCCCCTGTAAGGCTCAACACTACCCTGACGCATCTAAAATGTCATTTGGTTGTTTTAAACAAAGATTCCTTTTTGAAGGAATGCTATCAAAGTCTGGGGAAACCTTGGTTTCTTCATAATGTTTATCACTAGCTCATTCAATGGCAATTCCTGGAAAGGCTCCAAAAAGCTGCCTCTAGCTGACTGCACAAACCCATGCAAGTGTCTTGTGCCAAAATTAATACACGCAGCTACTGTTTATAAAGAAGCATTCAGAATAGCAACTGTGGTAATGATCCCTATACTACTTTCCATTTGGCACCACAGTTCATTTACTTATTTGACCGTTGCTTACAATTAACCAGTCTGTTAGGAATAGGTTTTGGCTAAGTCACTGATGCTACTAGCTCTCAGCCTCAAGAAGGACGGCTTGGGATACCCTTGGGGTAAGGGTTACACATCCAAGGAAAAAGGTCTTGCCAAGTGTGCAGAGTAACCTTAGCGTGCTCCTTAGCAGGTAACCCTCTTCCATGGACCCTGCAAGGCAAGAGGCACTGGAAATGCTGAAGAGAAGTATTTTTGAATCAACCACTCCTCAGATGAGAAATCTAGCAGAAAAAGTTGTGACTTGGTAGCTCTTGTGACAGACACCGAGAGAAAAAAGRTAATCTTTGTTTCCAAGGCTAAGAGATTGTGTAAGACTGAGTGCCTTCTTTACAAGAACTCTTGCATATTCATTCCAACTGTTAAAAATATTTTTGACATTACTTCAAGGAGAAATAATATGACCCTTTGCCTACCAAAAGACAACTTCTCCATGAGTAGCTACCAGCCACATTTGAAGCTTTCTTCAAATCATGAAGTTCCCTTGGAAACTACGTGCCTGCAAAGCATTGCTTATCTCTGTGGGCTTCGTGCTTATGTTTGCTCTGTTTTTCAACACCAAGCCATGCCTCTGAGGAGCTGGGAGAATTAAGCGTGGCTTGGACCGTGGGAGGAGAGAAAACGTACTGATTGACTGTGTTTTACTTAATTCATGGGGGAGAGCCAATGTTTCATTTTTACAGCACCGCTGCGGTAGTATTGGAAACACTGATTGTTTCTCTGCTTATGAAAATCTCCATTTTTCCAGTTTTGATTAGACAGTTCCTGAAGCTGTGATATAACTATTGACACACTCTAATACATTTCATGTGTAAACGTTGGGAAAACAACGTTCGAAATTCGTGTTTGGAAACCACTATCCCCCTTGGTCAGCTGGATGGAAATGTGAAGCAATCTGCCCTGCGGAGAGCTGAAGCTCGAGGGTGGGGAGGCCAGAAGTATGTTCCAGTCCACACGCTTCCCCAGCAACCAATGGTTCTGCTTTCATTTTTTAAACATTAATCGAACTACAGGCTCCTTCTCTTGAATCTCTCTGATGCTGTGAACGAAGATTGTTAAGTGGGGAAGCTGTCTGGCCTTAACTGTTTCATTTCTAATCGTCYTTAGTGCCTTGATTCGCCCCTGTGATTTCATCACACAACTTAGAGAAASCCTCTTTTTCACAAGTCATATTGTCATGATTATTCTTACACTACCTTAATACAGCAGCACAYAGGGGCCACTTTGCTGCTTGCTCCGATAGATTTATGTCATGTAATAAATCACTGTACCATAATAGGTCACTTTTAACAAGTAAAAAATGTCTGACACTTTGAGTGTTACTATAATTTTTTATGGCCGAAAGTGTACAGAGATCAAAGTTTCATGGTTTTTTTTTTTTTTAGGCTTGCTCTTATACATCCAGACAAGACCGTGACGGAGGGGATATTGCCACATGTTTAAAAATAAAGTCTCAAGCATGTCAGGAGAAGAAAAGAAAATTACTGACCGTCACGTTTCCAACCCTTCTTATTACTGAAGCAGAAGCTGACATACTTTTAAAAGAAAACTTTCTAGTAACATTATATGCTGCTACTGATCCCTCTGGGTTCCCCTGCAAATGAGTCAAGAGTTTGCGAGATACTTTTCTGGTAACACACATAAACAGATAAATAAATTATCACAGGCTGAGGACAATTTAAACATCTGGGAGCCAGCTCAGGCCTGTCAAGCAAGTCACAGACACTCAGGGACAGGAAAGATCAATCTTCAGCCTTGATTTCTGGGCCAGAGAGCAGGAATTATATCCCCCAACCTCCATAGGAGGAAAACTGTATATTTATAAAATAACCTGCTGTGTTGATGTATTTAAAGACATTTCCACTCATTTATTTTACAGAAACAAGCATTCTCAAAACACCAGGGCCCACAGAAGCCGTGGTTTGTCTCAGCTCTCTGCTCAAGAAGGCATTTTCATTTCCCAGCTATGCAGCCAGGCACTAAGCTGGACTCTCAGAACTCCAGTGGAAGTGGATTTATACCAAAATGAGAGAACGGCAGCAGCATTAGCTTTAATCTGCCAGACTAARCAACCCTGTGTCCCAGCAGTTGCACTCGCACACGGAAGGTAAGGGCTGCTCCTTGGGTAATCCCTGCAACCAAAGCCCACGGTCTGCAGCAGGCCAACAAACCAGGCAGCCACAGTCAGAGCTGGGCACGAGGAGCTGCAGGTCCCAACTGGCACCTAACCACCCTGACCACAGGGAATCCTCTCAAACCTCCCGTTGCCTCSGCTTTCCTCATGGGGGTGACACCTTCCTGCCTCAGGGACACGGCCCACTACATATGGAGTTAGGTATATTCTTAACAGTGGAAACGTAAATTGATGCATTGGACATATGAGCACACAGGCCTAGTTCTCAGGTCCCTGGCTGACATACAGCTCAGTACTGCATGCGAGTCTTGCTTCAAAGCCCTCCAAGTCGCCTGTCAGGAGCACATACCCATTTGGAACTACTTAGACAATCACRTAGGTTTCTACAAAACTTATTGATATTTACTTCAGAACAGCCTTATGAAAATCAAACTGGAAACGGATCCAGAACTCACACCGCATGCTGGTTACGGTTTTGTTGTTTTTCTGGCCCTCAGTTCTCCCTCAGAACTTGTAGTTACAACCACCAACACGAACCAAAGCAACCTGGCTTGCAGAACCACCAACACTTCACTGCGTTGCTGTTGAACACAGTGCTCCCAACACTCACTGTAGACAATGCAGCACAGAGCAGGCACACGTGGCCAGAAGAACCCTCTTCCACTCGCCTCCTCTTCATTCCATCCTTCACACTTCATGTACTAACCCATTACTCTCAAGCCAGCAAAGGAAGCATTTTCTTTCTGGAGACACACATAATAGATTAAACCCTTCTCTTCACTACTTAACTTCTTAGTTACTTCACCAGCATGCCTACGTTATACCACATGAAACTTCTGGACACCAAAACTCACTGCTTGCTAAAGGTTTCTGGCATTCGAGAGGGAGAAAGAGCCATATTTTATCGCATACATATTCATATTGAAGACATTTCAAACATTTATCTTTAAAAGTATGTTCTTGTATTAACAACTAACTGTTAAAATTGAGGCAATTATCACATTTAATTTGTCTTCAACTCTTGAGAATACTAGTTTTCATTATTTCACTCAATTTAACTATGAAAATTAACTTTTTTTTTTTCTTTTTTTCAGGCACAGCTAGGATTAAATTACTCAAGACCTTTCCTAAAATACGCTATTACATTTTTTAAAGTTTCTGATTTATCTGCAAATACAGYACATTTATCTGAAATGCAGGGGTGTATCAGTAATGTCAGACCAGGAACTGTGTCATATGCTCAAATGAGAGACAAAATTAACTCATTCAGACTGAAGTTTCGGAAGGAAGACAACCCTGTCACGTTAAGYAGGGGCACTTTTTGACAAACAACTCAAACATCACTACGAAAACTTTCACCTCTTTGTACTGCCATGTGCAACCCATTTGGACCAACTTTCTCCTTATTAATGCTCTCATTACAAGAGCAGCTGTTGAAGCTTTGCCATTTCAAGCATATGACACATATGCATCCCCTCCTAGACATTCTTCAGTTCCCCTTTTCACTGCACTCCACCTTATTCTGGCATGTCCTCAAGAGGCTTCCTCTGTTCTCAGCACTTAATCTCTGAAACTTGTCTTGTCCATCAATTCCTACAGGAAGAATCTGACAGCAATATTCCCCCAGGAAGAGAAAATGCTGTTCGTCGGCTAACAGAGCAGTGAATAAAACACTCCATTTCTTTTTACTTTAAAGTGCCTCAGTGGCTACCAAATTAATGGGACAACTAAACAACTAATTTTGCTTGAAGAGAGCACATCATAGCAGCCAGTCCTGTCAGGCGAAAGACGGGCARTGATTCAGAATGGCAAACTCTGCAATTCTTGCTCTCAAAATACCTGAAATATTAACYTGGAGATCACTTCTGATTTGTCGTATCTATAAAGCTTTTGAAACTAATAAGATGAATCCTATTCACAATCTCCAGGCTGCTTTCCATTACACAAATTAAACAATATTTTCTGGAGTGTCTTGGCAAAACTGTGAGAGTTACCTAACAATTCTGTTGGTTAGCAGTTTTTCTGTATAAAATAATGACTATCTGATTAACCGTAGCTCCTAAATCCAGTTCCTCCACACATTTCAATCAGCACTGAACTGTCATAGCGTGTAGAGAGATGAAACTATCTGAATGAGCATACTGTGCAATGTCTTCTCTGCTTTACAGACACATGCAGGGCTGAAGTGAACAGAGAAAGTGACAGGAAAAAAGCAAGTCTCCCACCTCATATCCAAACTGGAGCTCATCCGAGGTCAGCATAATGATATCATCATCAATAGCCAACACTGCCTCTGTTTCAATCTCGTCATAGGGGAAGAAGCGGTTACTAAGTTTGTTTTCTGCAGTTCTAACAACTTTCAGTGGAACCCGAATCTTGGGCCATAGGGAATCTGATGAGAGAGAAAAAAAAAAAAGAAATATAATTCAATATTATAATTTATTTCTGAATAAGACTGCACATCTGCCTCAGGAATCTCTTCAGTCACCTTTACGCACATCTAAAAAAAACCCAGCTTTTGATGGGTAATTTATATCTGACTTCCAGGTAGGCAAAAGTGTAAATATATTTAAGAAAGAGACAGAGCAGAAGCTCAGCTACCTTCTCCACTTTGGTTTTGTTTTTTCTGCTAAGAGCTTCCCGGAGGGCTGTCTGTGAGGACAGCTTGCCCACCACTGCATTAGGATAGTCACACATCAAGAGACAGTGATGCTACACCCTGGCTTAGGACAGGAGGCAGGAAAAAGTAGTTTATTCACTATTTTATTCACACACTACTACTAAAAACACAGAACCACATACTGCTTAAAGTCGCCAGTGTCCAAACACTATCTCACTGGGAAAACAAAACCCTTTTTCCAAGCCACACCAAGAGTCTTCAAAAGTCAGTTTTCCTTGGAGCTCTGTTTTGGAACAAGGATTAGCATGCAAGAGTTGCCCAAAGAAAGGAGAATAAATACAGAGATATGTATTTTATTCAGCTTCCTGCCCAATGACTGTTCTTGTGGGACTGAAAAAAAGCGACAATATAAAATCTACCTTTACCAGAGTGGCCTCGTGAGCATGTATTTTCCACTTTGTGGATGGTTCGGTCCAGTTCTAGTCACCTCTCTAGCTTACATATCTCCGGAGCATGGAAAAATCTACCTACAAATGAAACCTGAAGGGCAGGGACCGAGCTCCTCCTCTTGCACGTCCCACAGAAGACCTGTGTTTGAGCAACACGTGCTGCTTGGCAAGAAGGCTCGGGACGTTGCTGACACTTAGTGCCATTTGGGACCACTGATGCAAGAGCTACCAAAGAGAAAGCCTTGTGGTCTTCTAAAAACAGGTAGCGCATCTGTCAAACCGCCCGGGAAAGAGCTGAGAGATCAGCGCTTTCCAGACTTCTCCAAATGGAGCTTCCGATTCCAGTGGCTTGCAATCCCAAATAACCACATGCCCAACTGCATTTCGGGCCCGTCCGTCATCCCTCACCATAAACTCTGCAACTCTGCATCACACAGCAAATTTTTCCAGCATGATCTCAAGATGATTTCCAYGAACTGCAAGACCAAACTCAGTGCTGATTTCCCATACTCCAAGAAAAAAGTGTCCTAAACACACTCTCACTTAAAACACTTGATTCTAAAAATTTAAGATAAAAAATAATTAAAATAAAAGTTTAAAAGAAAAAAAAAGCAACTTTAATAGATATTATTGAAGAATAGCAAGACACCTCCTCTAAACATGCATTTCCCTATTAGAATTCCCAGTTGAATTAGACGAAAAGCAAAGGACAGAAGGGAGAGGTGGGCATGAGACAAAGACAATTATATTACAATCTAAAGCGGAGGGGAAACACCTTTTGCTTTCCACATCAGCTCTAAAGCCTTAAAAATTTTCATTAAACTAAATTTAGAGAGCAGCTTTATTAGAAAWACAACAGGACAAAATGATCGTTGCATGGACAATATTGTAATTTTCACATGAAAGGGAAAGATTTTGTACAATAAAGTAATTCATGGGAGTCAGACACAGTCACCAATCAGTCATTTATCCAATTAGAAAGTGGCATCAAGGACACTGTGAAGTAGACAGGTTAATTCCAAGCATAAATATAAATTCAACAAAATGTTCCTAGCAGGGCCAGTCATTAAAGGCGCACTATACAAAAAATATATCACAGGATAATAAATAAATAAATAAATAAATAAAAAGATAGCTCTTTCTTAAGCTACAGCAATGCACAGGATATGCAGGTTCATTGTCCCCAGTGTTTTATATCAGTGCTGTCCATCAGTATGACCAAGCTGAAGTAGGGAAGATAATGATGTCCGTAAACCCCACGGTCTGTATCTTATTATGGATTTATCAGCAACTTAGCTGCAGGATATAACTGACACAACTGATGCAACTAGACAGAAAATACAGCCCTTAAAATGCAGTTTTGATTTTYACAAAATTGGACTGAAAAAAGGAGTCAAACTACCACACATTTGGCTTGTAGCTTATTGCATATTTACAGAGAGCAATGCATTTATACCTCTCTCTTTATATAAACATATTTATATGGTAGATAAGTTTGTGTAACTAAAAGTCACTGGAAATTTCTAACATAAACCATTTTCTTGAATTTTAGAACCTTTAATTAAGAATTTGAATGAAGACTTAAATTCAAAAGTAAAAAGCGAAAGTGTTTGGCTGAATGGAGGAGGAAAAAATCCTGTCTATGCCAATACTTTCAGGAGCAGACACTTGAACCACAATGTTTATTTTAATGGATAAAGAGTGAATTAAAAAAAAAAAAAAAAGAAAGAAAGAAAAAGAAAAAAAATTTCCTAAATTTCAAAGCTTTTAACCATTTTGTTTTATTAACACTGAACACTGAGTCAGGAGTTGGCTGACTGCTATTGTGGTCACAGTAGTGAATTTACACACACTGTTCGGTTGAATATATATGCAATACTCAGCAATTAGACTCAGAAAAATACAGATCAGAAATCATCAGCCTTAAATCCATAGAGCACTTAAAAATCAGCAAAATGACTCTAAAGTGTGTTCAGGTGCCATATTAAAATCATCATCATTATACCTGGCAGTATGACAGTTTCTCTCTATTGTTTCACATTCCAGACCCACTATTTTAACCATGATAAATAATACCCTGAGAACCTCAGAAAGCCTGCACAAGGCTTCTGTGTTACTCGCATATTCCTTTGCTGTGACCATTTTATCTTTATTCCTTAGCCACTGGTCAGACTGGGTTCAAAGGCAGCAGATGAGCTCCTTGGTTTCCAAGCTCATCCCAAACACCACGTTCCCGCTTGGCGCACTCAACTCACTCAGCAATAACACCCAAACACACAACTCAGCTCCCACCACGTAGCCACCTACATGGAGCGCTCCATCAGAAAGCCTGGGAAGGAAGGGTGTTCAGTCAAGCCAAATCAAGACCAAAGCACAAGATGTTCAACACAAAGGTATTATTCCTAGTATATAAACACTTTAAAAAAAGAAGAGATTGATTTTAGTATTTGCACGTACTTCATCTCTTCTGTTCCCAAGGGCAATAGGAATATTGGACATTTATTTCTAATGCACGTTGCTCGGATGACAATGTCAAGAGTATTCRGTGTCATTTTCAATTATAATMCTATTCCAGTGTTGGTGAGAGAAGCAAAGAGCAGCCACAGGCCACATTYATGTAGCACTACACCAGTTGCATCTCAGGACACCCAAATCCAAGCCCAGGTTTACTGCACATCATCACGAAGGAAAATACCTTTGATGTCCTTCACCCAGCCCTCCCACTTCCATATATAAAACAAAATAAAAACATGGAGGACTGCAACGACGAAAGGCAAGGTTTTTTTCCATACAGAAACATGTTCCTTATATGGGAATGACCAGGAAATAGGGCACTCGATGCTCTCCGAGGTTAAGCGCCTCAGCTTTACTATAACCAATTAAAAGAGAATAGCCATAAAAGTGCAGATACTACTGTAGGGTAATAAACTAGTCTTTATCAGTGACAGTGGTGCACATTACAGACTTCAAACTCATTCCTTGCCCTAATCCATCAGAAACTTCCTGGCTTTAACAGGCTATAAATGGCTGAAGCTTTGAAGTCCAAGGATTAGGCTCGCTAATAGACAGGCTGAACAAGAGACTGGCTGAAGAGCCAAGTGGAAGGCCCTGCGTGGATCTGAAATAAAGCAAATTAATTCAATCAAACTGACCTCTCTTTGGCCACGGCCCAAGAGATTACAGCGCTATAACAGCAATAAAGACACAAGGGACATTAGAAACAAATAGTTATTTTCTGTAACACAACACTCAAGTCTAACACACAGGCAAAACTACCTGAGCTCTCAACTAGTAACAAATTCCTARTTTTTTTATTGCCGCTTTGAGGTCAGTTCATTAGTACTACTCAAAGTAGAAAGAAATCACCTGCTTTAATTTAAATAATTTCAAAATGCAAGATTAAAAATTGTTTAATAAAAATATAACTCTCATAATTCATTTGCTTCAACTCTCCTTTACCTCAGGCTCAAGAGAAAACCTGGAAACAATCCATTGGGGTCAAATCTGTCCACAATCACTGGACACAGCAGAACTAATATAACATCAAGCACATTTGTTTTCAGGGAAAAAAAAAARGATATAAACAACAACGATAACAAAACCTTCCTGCAAAAATGTCAGTATCATCAATCTATACACAATACTTCTCACTCGAAAAAGATTGCAAAACATTTAATAAACCTCTAAATTTGAGGCATGTAGAACAGCAATATTACAGAGCAGCRTGAAGTGAAAAACAAAGCTACTCCACTTCAAACCGCAGCAAGTGGCCAACACGGGAAACGAGCCAGGTCGATGGGAGTCATAGCTTGGCTCCTGAGGAGCTGTCAGAAGATCCTGAGTTGAAACAAGTGGTCAGGAATTAATTTCTACACTGCATCTTACTGCTATGCACAGCAGCCCATTTGCAGGGGGAGGAAAGCAGCAGCCAAAGCTTCTGGAAGAGAATTACAAAGCAGGAAACTCTAATGCCTCATTTGAAGAGAGCTGAATTCACTCAGTGCTTTATCATCAGATTTATAATTCTTTAAACACTTACTCCACTTTAAACACTTATTCCAAGAAGGAAATGTATCTTTCCCACAAACACGCCACCTACGTATTTAGAAAAGAATGCCCAATCCACATACACCATGCAAACTCATTCACTACTGCACAGGCCTTACGGAATCACAAATGGGGAGATTTATTTCTCGCCTGCAACATCGGTCGGTCGGGATTTTAATGTAAGTGCCCATAACTGGGAAGGAGGCCGTGCCTCACGGCAGCAAGCACGGAAATGAAAGGGGCAGCTCGGGCCTTGCTGCCCCACGCTGTAAACAAGTGCCACGGGTCACCTTGAAGGGCTCCCTGCTATGCAGGGCAACGGCTCCTGGGCCTCCTGCTCACTCCCTAGGGAGCCTGTGTGGAACTCCCCAAGGACGGACGGATCCAGCCCGCTGGGGGAGCAGGAGAAGCGCGGGGGCAGAACCGGCTCCCCGTTCCGAAAACATTCCAGCAGGATAAGCACTCATGGGGAAAAAAAGGGGTTTAGAGAAAATTAAAACTAAGCACGGACAAATAAGATAAGTCTCTTCTTTCCCCTCCCTCCAAAAAAGCAAACTATAAAACAGTGCTTCTGTAACTATTGCACTGGTTACCATTAATTCAGAAACTGGCAGCAGCATCACRGGTATGCTTTTCTCTTTTTATCTACCTTGGCCTTTCTCATTTCAGTTTCAGAAATGCTGCCGCMAAAAAAATCACATTTATTTTTTGGAAAATAATGAGGAAACGGCTTTTGAAGCAGGAGAGGGGTCGATTTGTGGCAGGTGCAGCTGAGAGGCTGCTCCCAGTTGCAGCCTCCTCCACGAGCACCCTCGGGGTCCTACCTTCGGGGGGATTCTTGTTCTGGTTGTTCCAGACAACCAGCAGTTTGGAGAGACTGGGCACTTTGGACACTTCAGTGATGACTCGGAAGAGGCTCTCGACGCGGTCGTAGGTCAGCACGATAGCTGTGAAACCTTGGGACTGCGGTGGGATCAGTGGAAGGAAGAGCGGGTTACTCACACTGCTCCATTTCTGCGAAGGGAAACAGGAAAACGATTCAATTAAAGTGATTCATTGCAGCAGGGAGGAATTCACATAGTTAGAGTGTGATGGTCAGAGCTGGAATGTGTTGGAATTAGGAACGGTGATTCACCAGTGCTGGCAAAAGTGTGCTTGGACCATTCTGCAAATCCTTCCTCCCAGCTTCTTTCTGAACTCCRTTTTTACTTTGGCATAACTGTACAGAAAGGGGCTTTAGGAATTAAAAAACAAACAAGCAAACAAACAAAAACCTTACCTGGAGGGGGCAGATGGATTCGGGGGGGGGGGAGGAGAAATTCACTGTGGTGAATTTTGAACCCAGCTACCATGGCTTTATTCACTAATCACTACTAGAAGATATATATTTTTTTTATATATTGTGAAAAGTCTGTAAACAGAGATTTAATCAGCACTACAATTTTAGAAGGGAAAAAGAGTTTAAAACAATTAAACCAAAGCAGCAAAAACACAGCCCTGGCATAAAACGGGCACCCAAGGGAAAAAGGCAAAAGCGGACACTAAGAGGAACCAACTTCCACCAAACTGGGTTTGTTCACAGGAGGTGAAAAAAAATAGGACTGAATTTTATACTTCTTTGTAAAAAGAGCCATGAGAGGCACAGATCGATGTCAGCTAGCTATTTACTCCTCCTGCATGTTAACCAGGGCATCCCTTTTAAGACTGTAAAGCTGAGCTGGCAGGAGACAAGAGAGGCGGCTAAGCCGGCACCGGCTGTGCCGGCCGCATCTGGAAGAGGCGCTGGCCRAGGGAGCAACGGGAGGAGGGACAGGGACGGGACCGGGGTCGGAGCAGGCGCCGCGCGAGGGGCGACGCGGCCGGGRCAGTCGCTGCAGCCTCAACTTTTCCACTCGGGCTTTCGTTCCAAGCCCCGGGCCTGAGCAGCACAGGGAACAACAGGACCTCTGGGGAAGAGGTGAAAAAGGGAGCTGGGAAAGCAGAAATGGGTGCTTGCTTTTGCTGGGAAATCTTGAACCCTAGCCCATAAAAAAAACTAGGAATGCTCCTAATAGGTCAGTCTAAACTGCTAACAGTTTCCAGAAAGACTGGGAGGATCCTCAGCCAAGCTCACACTGCAAGTCCTCTTGCTTCAGGAGGAACCCAAGTTTTGAAGTTAACAGCTCACATTTGCAGGAATTAAATCCTGCATTTTTAAATTTCCTTATTTCGCCTTCGGGTTATTTTTCCTTATGCACCTAAGAACCACCTTCCCCATTTGTAACTGCCACCTAAGAGTATCCCTCATAACCACAGGGACAAGGGGAATATAGAACCCGTTACACTTAAAAGAGTGCATAACATTTTGTCCATTCTAGCACACGAGAACAAATTATGATGCGAATAGGATTTCCTTAAGCACACAATCCTATCCACTACGGCCCAAGGATATGTTCCAGGCAAGGACTTGTCAAGAGAAGTAATGCCTTGTATTAGCATTATTGATATAGCTTGGGAAAAAAATGCATGTCCTTTTTCAGGTCTTATACAAGCAACAGTTGATACTAGCAGCACTTGAGGCTCCTAGCGGAAGGCATGAAATACTAATTTTTCACTCAACAAGAATAGTACAATATTGTGTAAATAGTAACAACATAAAATGGTTCATGAAAGGGACATGGTACCTTGTGATAGCAGAGGACTATATCAATAATTTAAAAAATACATATCAATTGCTTTAGAAACTGGTAATGAGCAGAGACATTTTTCTAAAATTAAAGCTTTCACAAATATTTCTAATAATTTTATGAAACACATAACCTTTTGATTTTACTCCAGCTCAGTAATTTCATTATCAAATCATAATTAAATGTTACCAGAGCACAATCCATCTTATTAACACTTTACAGACTCACTTCCACACACTCTTCATCCTCAAGGCTCTATTTCCCAAATGACCCCTGCAACATCAATAAGTTTTTTAAACAATATTAAGAAACCTCTTTTTATTAATACTTCTAGCAGAGTGCTAAGAAAATCTTAAGTTTCTGTCATATAAGAAGAAATAACTGGTAAAGTATCTTATGGACAATATTGTTTTTATTACATATAGATGAATACTACCATCTAAATGAACTGCTTTCATGTGCAACTTGTTTTTTTTCTGGCTACAGCTTTCTAAGAAATTATKTGCTGTAACATCCCAGAAAAAGCATTTTTCTCCTTCTGTCATCTATGACTTCTTCAGAACTTACAGGAAAAAACAAAGTATATGAGGAAGCACAAGCATGCGCGCATATATAGTTGATCATGTCTATTCTTAAAAATTTATGTTTTAGGTACAACATGACTTAAACCTCTGATTTTTACTTTCAGAAAACATGGAAATTCTCCCCTACCACTTATAACTTCGGAAAACATGGCAACTTGTCAGATGTCTTTGCGCCCATCTACTAACAGGGGGTAACAGAGGGAAAAACCTGTGGATTCCAATGGATGGGAGAACCGAGCCTCTTATTGAGCAAAATATTTCAGAAAGGCAATTAAGCATCTCTGAAGTGCCATTAAGAACCCACCCCCCGCTGCCTGCCTGGGGAGTGTGTCTACAGTCTGGGACCTATTGACCCCACTTTCTGCAGGAAATCAGGCCARTTCAGGCCGCCATAATTTACTCAAGTCTTCCCGACTTCTGCTTGGGGAAAGCACACCATACAGGCAATCAATTCAATGGCAACCTAATTAAATCTCCATTATGGCAGCAAAGCATGAAATGGACGGCCCTGGGGATGGGTCCTCCCAGTCACTGCTCAAGAAAGTACAGAGGGAAGGAAGATTCGCTCCAGTCCCACCTTCATTGGTGTTTGTGATGGATTTCCACAGCAACTTTCACTCTTGGAAAGAGCAGCGAGAAGCGAGAGCAGAGCGAGCATCTATCACTCCTCTCTGACAAAGTGCTGACCTTCAGCTATGGACAGAACAATCCTTTACTTCTGCTCTCCCAGCTGAGATCATTACAGGAGCCAGAATCATTAATCTAAAATGGATGGGGTGTTTACTGTGAATCATTTTTATGGGCAGAAGGGGATCCGGTTTCAAACGCCAGCCTTGCAGGGGAATCCGCGCCGCTTCATCCTGCAGGCTCAGCTGCCTCACGGCTCTTCCCCAGCCCACGTGAAAGCCCAAGCAGCGGGACCTGGAACGGCAGCCAGAGCTCCAAGAGAGCCCGGAGCGGGAAGGAAAAGGGAACTCTTGRAATGGATACACGCACAGGCAAGCACGGGAATTATTGCAGCTCTCCCTACGCGTGCTTTCCACCAGTGTGCCTAGACATGCATGCACTCGTGCACAATGCTCACTTAAGTCATAACGTTACTCTGCTTTATTCCTGACACAATAAACAGCATTCTCCCTGTTGGTCATTAAATACAGCTTGGTTCTGTTCTAGGAGAGGGGAACACGTTAGGTCAAGATATCAAGGGAGCTGAATCCTTGATATGTGAGATGCTTAAGGCTGGGCTTGCTGGGGAGCCTTCAGGTTAAATTAACAGGGCATGCTGAAGCACACCCCTCGGAACAGGATGCAAAGTGAAAGAGACAGAGCTTCCCAGATGGCAACTGACACAGCAGGACCCAGCAGAACCAACCCCTATGAAGATACAGAGCCTCTAACGTACTGCCAAAGCAGCAGACATAACCACACCTGGGCTCTACGCCGAGCCTTACTGTTGGAGTGTACACCTAAAGAGAGACCTAAAGAAAGGCACAGCAGACACCAGGGACGTCTGCCCCACGGGATGATCCCTGGGAACGCCAGGCTGCAAGAAGCTGTTCCACATTATGGGAGAGAGCCAGGAACTGCCCAGCTATCATTTWGTGGCACGAGGCGGCCACAGCCCTTCGAAGGAATAAAGCGCCGCTGTTCCCATGGGCAAGGCAGTGGCTTTTCCTGCCTGTGTACTTACAACAACCAGACTTAGTGCTTGTTACAATCAACATATCGGTGAAACCACACGCATTGAATGAGAACAACCCGCTGTCCTTTGAAGGCGTGGAGGTGAGGAACAGGGAGCACTGCACTGTACAGTAGCTACACAGTTCTCCCATACATCCCAGCAAAGCAAATGTATATCCCGTACTTCTGTGGGTATGGCTTGTTCAGCTGGGCTATTCTGAATATCAGATTTTAACCTCAATGTGGTTCCAATTATGAATTACCAGACCAAAAAAGCCTTGATTTATTCTATTTTGCTCCAATTATTCATGATATGTTTCTATTGAATGCTTTGAGAAAGCATTTCATCATGCTTCCCATCCTCAAGTGGTCAAAGGGCAAAACCAAAGGAATTAACCCTCTCTGCTTTTCCAGGGCCAACCACAAGGCTGACGCACTGCAGAATTACATACAATTCGATGGGAGACTTTCCAGACTGGATGTGATCTTCACCCACAAAAAACCCTCATCCTCATCCTCTGGCAGTGGCAACATTTCACACGTCTGATGACAACTGTAAACACCCTCCGAGAGGTGTCAGCCACAAGGCACACAGGAGTCCTACCTATTCCACCACAAACGCAGAAATCCAATACTGTTYCGAACCACGAATTTTGATTGCCAACATATATTGCATAACTACAGCACTAAATCGTTCAGCAGCTTTTTTTGTTTAGCCAGTTAAATCTCATCAACTGTCTGAATCCTTCTCACTCACAACGTATTGGCTGAATACATTTATTGACATAAGAAATCGTGCTGATCTCTTCATTTTTTCAATAAGGTATCCAAGTTTGCAGGGAGAAGAGAATTACTTAGAATAGAGTTCATATTTACCATTTCCATTAATACACACTGTGTAACACTCACAGCATCACCTCTGGCCAGCAAAACTTGACAGTTTATTTGGGAGCATCTCAGAGCTAACTTTGCTAAGATTAAAAACATGCCTCTCACACGTATACGTGTGTTTGTCTATATCTAAACTAATTTAAAGAAAAGCTAAAAAGCTTTTACAGAAAATAAAATCCAAAAGTACTAAATG